AATATATTTATATATATTTATATAAATATATAGATATATTTATTTATATATATATATATATATATAATATATATATATATATATATATTATATACACATATATATACATACATATATACATACATGTACACATACACACATACATACATAGATACATATATACAACATACGTACGCACTACACACATACATACATACATACATGCATACATACATACATTCATGTACACACGCTCACATTCATACATTCTTACATACATATATACATACATACATACATACATTTATATATACACAAACACACACACATACATACATATATACATATATACTTACATACATACATACATACATACATATATGCATACATACATACATACATACATACATATATATATACATACATACATACATACATACATACATACATACATACATAAGTAGATAGATAGATAGATAGATACATTTATACATACATACATACATACATACATTTATATATACACAAACACACACACACACATACATACATACATATATACATACATACATACATACATACATACATATATGCATACATACATACATACATACATACATACATACATACATACATACATATATGCATACATACATACATACATACATATATATATACATACATACATACATACATACATACATACATAAGTAGATAGATAGGTAGATAGATACATTTATACATACATACATACATACATAAATACATACATACATACTGTGCCGTGAGCGAGAGCCTTGATAGCCTGATATTTGGTGAATAGTCTTTCCCTTGTAGGCTTATATCTCGAAATTTGAACATGCTAGTTCGATACATGTATTGTATTCGTGATTTGAATGTCATTTGCATGAAATTCCAAAATTTATCGTAGTTTTATTACTTATTAGTACCTTGAAGTATACGATCATATTGATTATTTCGAACGCACGACTATGTGACTTCTGACGTTTGCTTGCGAGGAGACTCTGGTTGAAACAATCCTTTTTGAGCGAAGCCGGTATCAGATGCTCCGTTCTGACTGTTCTCATATATGGCTAGGGGGTCAAGATCATCGACCGTTTTCAAGTTTAGAACGACTATCAAAGTAATTTGTCCGAAAAGGAATACTGTGCACACACTCATGCAGCAGTATACACTATAGAACGTTATGAAAACAATTGGAATAATTTTTGTTTCCGTCTCCGTCGCCGGATTGGTGAATACATGGGAGTATGCTACGCGCAAAGCGAAGACCGTCGTTGACATACTGGTGTAGAACAATGCAACCTGCGAATTTGACCTCCAATCCGAGAACGCAACCGTCACGTGCCGAGATTTATACGTGTGGTAGACAGTAACTAACAGCACGGCATATAATCCGACAAGAATGGTTATGCTTACAGGAGCGAGTCTATTTTGCTTCATGCAGCTCAGAATCAAGGCAACACTGCCGATAAATAGCGCCCAAACAAATACGCATAAATACGAGTGTCTGTATATTTTACGCGATTGCTTCATCTTCACTTCGAATAGTAGGTAGATCAGCCTTTGCCGACACCCTTGCGCGCCCAGAAACATTATAGAACCAGCAGTACTCAGTCCCACAAGCGATACCATAAGAGGTTTGCTATAACGGATCGCACCAATTTGTATCATAGTGATTAAAAGAGCGGTGTGACAGTTACAAACACTCCCAGTCCAGTGACAAGTATGTACTTTGCCCCTCTACTTCGCACTAACGGGTGGTGCAGTTGGGTCAAAAGGTACCCGCACGTGAATAGTAGTTCTACTACAAGCAAGTGCCATACCGTGACTAAACATGCCAATGCGAGTCGTTGATCACTTGCTGGCGCGAATCCTTTTGTGTATCGGATCGAAACAGCCGCCAATGCAGCGAATAGTGCACCATTGAACAACACGAGAAGCAGAAAGCCCCAGCCATTCAAGATTATGAATTCTCGCCCTGAAATTTGCTTGAGGGACGAAACTCTTCGTATAGCCGTGATAACTTGAAACCATGCAATTTCTATATCTACATTGGGATTTGGCTTGATGTTGACCATACTGGAGGAAACATCCGTCTTGTTGATTAAAGCTGTCGTGGTGCTGGTTTTTGCATCTTCCTTCATTTTGGTATCTGAGCTTTCTACAGACAGACCTTCGAGGGGGGAGCCATGAAATACGGTTGTATGTAGCGTTATAGAGTTTGTGGATCCGTCCCCTGCATTAGGTCCTGGGGTTGGTTCCGGACCCGATGTGGTCGTACCATCGTTAGGTGGTGACTGATTCATAGATATCGAGTGTAAATAGTGCGAGCTCATCACACAATCGCCTTTATCGCTGTTGTACATAATAGTCAAGTACACGTCCTCGCTATATCACTCTATATCTAAAATTGTATCAGTCTCGTTGAAGCAAGGAGTCATTTGGCCCTTAGCCGACAATGCGCTCACTATTCATGGGTACGATGTATTTATAACTTATCTAAGTTAAATAACATATACGTAACGGACAAAAATAATATCTGTCACCCATTGGCCATCGGCCGATGCCCGATCGTTGAATTTGATATCTGTAGTGTCGAAAAATTAAAAGGTCCAGCCCAAATGACCGGAAGCGGCCCAATTCCCAAATCACCACAAACACTGTACTCTTTCTAGTCTCAACATTATTACTAGCGAGTATAGCCAATCATCACATGGCACATTGATAGTATAAAGTATCATTGTATTTATTGGTTATGTTATAGGAAAATTAAACTTCCTAAGTTCCTATTCAATTAATATGGGGGAAGAGTAAACTACTACCACAAGCCATATGCTCATTTAGACTATTTTGTTATAAAAATGTAGAAGTGATTGTATTTATTTAAAATTTTTCAAAAACAAAAACAAAACAGTTCGAATTTTGTCTCCCATACATAAATACCAATTAGTTTTATTTCAAAACAAAACATAAATAGCCCAGGGCCAGATGGCTATGAACAAAACCTAAAGCTTTTTAATAAAAAAACAACAACAACAGGTTCTACATATATATTTAACTATTTATGCCGGGAATATTCAACATTCCATATCATGGACAATATCATTTGTACATACATAAAAAAATGCATGAATCGAAAACTCAAAACTCAAAGTGCAGTATGTAGTGCACAGTAAGTGCAGTAGTGCACAGTTGCACACTGCACAGTGTGCAGTACTTGTTTAAAAATAAATAAATAAATAACAGTTTATTAGGAAAGTATGTATTTTAAAATAACCGCAGGAGGGGGTTCGCAAATACATTGAGTTCTAGGGAGTAAAAAATCAAGGCAACAGCGAGTGATTTCATTGGATGTATATAATACTATATGTACATAGAAACTGACAATTAAGGGCTTAAAAATATAGCCGTCTGAATAGTGAATATGGATAGTGATAGTGAATTATACACCATGTGAGTCCGTGACAGAACTGAGAACTTCAGAAGTCTATGGTAAATACTAACTTATATACATAAGACTTTGAAGTTTGAGCAGAACGCCAACGTCCAACGGTCGTCTCTCACAAAATATCAAATTATGTCCAGGCCACTAACTTCTAAGTATTCTCACCGAGTGAGGCTGGGCTGAAGGCTCCTCCAGGTTCCACCGCCACGCTCTAAGCCTCCTCTAGCCTCCCCACCAGAGGCTCCAGTCCCCAGACCCCAGGGCCCAGGCGGTCCCGCCAGAAGGTGCCCGGTTGCTCGAGGAGACATATTTCTACTTATTTTAAACTAAATAAAATAAATAGTACCGCTGATGATATTTCAAGCTGGCCTTTTCTTGTATAAATAATATTTTGTAAAAAACAAAAGAACACGTCCGTGTTGAAGTGTTCTTTTGTTTATTTAAAAAAAAAGAAAGAAATTGTCTCTGGATGAAAAACAAAAACAAAATGGAGTCACGTTGAGAGATAAAAAAAATCTCTGAGACACATTATTGCAATTCCAGACTCCAGAGGCCAGAGGGCCGTATGTAGACTAAAAAGGTTTGTTAAAAAAATTGATGGGCCCTCTCTAGGCTGTAGTCTGACCCTCTCTCTCTCTCTCTAGAGAGAGAGTATGTAGAGAGAGTCAGGAGACTGAGAGTGAGTGAGTGTGAGAGCGATAGAAGTCTCGCAGGAATTTTCTATTTGAGTGTTTTAATATTTTTAGATTTTTACTTTTAGAAGAAGACCGTCGCTCTTTTAAAAAAAACAATCTAGAGAGCGGGTCATGAGTCAATTCGTGAATTCCAGTCGGCCTTGTCGCCGACAGGCATGAAACAGTAAAACCTTTTCAATACAGATGCTCCCATAGCCTTCTAAATTCAACACTCCACTAATAAAAAAATGGTAATTGTTTCAAAAAAAAAAACCCCCCCCCCAATTTACCAATTTAAATTATTATTTATCGCCTTCTGAAAAAAGAACACAGAAGAAGGGTACTGTTTTACACATTTAAAAAATATCTAGTTTAGAAGGCTAAGAAAATAATTGATTTCTCAGAATCGGGTTGCGTACAGTTGTATTTGACCTGCTGAAAGGAAGCCAAAACTCCCTTAACTTATTCCTGCCATTTTTGAAGTGGCCAATAATGACCTGAGGCGTCCATGATAGGGACTTGGGGCGACCATTGTTTGCCCGGGCCTTGCTCACGAAAAAAATCACTTGACACATCTTCCTCTGCATCAGGTATCTAATATTCTGTTTGTTATTGACAAGTCGCAAACGATTGCCAGGACCGCGCTGAGAGTGCCTCTTGTCGCTTTCACCACTCAGATGCTTAGCACCCTCTGGTGGTATATGTTATAATACTCTGCAAAAGCTTATATATACGAATGTAATCAATATTCCTTGCGAGTGTCACAAGAGTATAAAAATATCTTTTCAGGTATGAAGCAATAACAATTTTTAAACGTCTGTCACTTTGACTGATCTTAGAAATGGCCCGGTATGTCGATTTTTGGCCTTGGAAGTCTATAATTCGTACTGGAAAGACCTGCTAAGGTGAGCGCCCAACATTTTCGAATTTTGCCAGAATCGAGTCTCGAACTAATTGTATTTTCCAAAAAGCGTTAGAGTGTGTGATATTCTTTTCTTTGGTCATTCTGAGCATTTTCCGCTGATAAACTCTCGAATCGGGTATGTAATTTATGCACCACAAATTTTCGTGGAAGTAGGGGTATGTACTATGTAAATGGTAGTGGAAGAATGGAAATATACAAAGCCTAAAGATTCAGCAATGGATAAAATGTTCAATTTTCAGAAGGCTATGAAAATGGTTTGAAAAAAAACTTTCTCCGGTTCACTTTCATTTTCTAGAAATTTCTCGGATATTTGTTCATAGCCTTTGTTTTATAAAAAAAATGCTCATATCTGGTTACTCTTGATAACGGATTGCCAATTGCCATATCACTGATTTTTGAATACAACTGCACACACATACCAGAGTTGATACCAGTGATACCAGATGAAAACATTGCCCTGCGGCCTGAGTGAGTCTCAAGTCTCAAGTCTCAAGTCTCAACTCAGACTCTCAGAGACCAGAGTGACCAGACTCCAGAGTCACCCCCCAGCAGCCAGGCCGCCTGGGCCCAGGTCCCAGGTCCCAGGGGGCTATGTAGTAGGCCCCAGGTCCCAGGGGGCTATGTAGTAGGCCCCAGGCCCCAGAGATGACCAGATTGACAGTCATATGACTCATAGTCTATCATAGACTCTACTAGACGGTAGATAATCTATCATAGACTCTACTAGACTGTAGATAACGGATAATCAAGGCATGAATAGAATATTTTAAAATAAATAAATACTCATTTACCTCACTAAACAGAGTAAATACACAGCATATATTTACTCTATGTTCATATGCTAAATTTAGTAAATTAGTACCTTCCATATACACAGAATACGTTTTTAAAAAAATAAAAAGTTAAAAACAAGTCAAAACGAGATAGAGATTCGGAGGTACATTTTTAAAACATATATAAATACATACTTACATAGCCCTCTCTTGTTTGTTTTTAGAAGGCTATGGTAAATACCAAAGCCTTCGTTAAAAAAATACAATGGGGCTATGGAGAATTGGAGAGACATTGTTTTTTTTTGTTGCTGTCTATATTAGTGGATGAGTTATCAGTCATGAGGACTATTTAATACATTACTCATGATGTCAGTCATGTGGCATGTCCGATTGCGTTAGCTGATGCAACACAACTGCCTCACGACCCTGGGGTATTGCAAAGCCCCATTGGTAGAAGTTCGGTACACGGGGTACCGGACTGGAAGAGAGAAACCTTGGATAGGGAGACAGCTTTTAGGCGTATCAACATGGTGTCATAGGATGTCACATGTCAGGTCAACAGACGCTAAAAGGCAGAGCCGCATAGTGTCATTAGAGATATACAGGAGAAAACAGCAATAAGAGGATATCACAGGCAATAGGATCCTAAGGAGATGCGGGAGGATTGGCACTATGCGGAAAGTGTCCAAGGATACCTGGACAAGGATATGCTTACGATATAAATTAGGCATCCACAATAGTGCATCAAGCATACAACTACAAGGAAATGTATAGATGCACGTATAATAAACTGATCTTAAGAGTACAAATATTCTGTGAGTGTTACCTTCTACAATATTAAACTACAAAAACTGGATTATTTCTACTTCATTACAGCCAACTTCTTACTTCATGGGCACCCTTCTTCACGGCTCACCACTTCATCGCCCACCAGTCAGTCGGTCACCCTCCGGCGTCCTTTACTCTCTTTCTGAACGTCGTAATAGATTTTAGGCATCAGGAGTTTTAGTCACAAATCTATAAGGCATAAAAAAGGGTTAAGTCAATAATTTAACATGAAATTGTCATAGTTTTTAGCCCACACATACACATTTAGGCTTATAAGAGAGCTCCTCTCTCTCAAAAGACTAGAGAGGGAGAGCTTTCAAGCCAAAATAGCTATGGACAATAATAAACCCCATGGCTAACACCGTAGAACTAAAAAAACGGCTGAAACTCTTATGACTAGAAATTTATCGCTCAATTCTGAGTTTAAAAAAACTAAAATTATACATATTCCGAAAATGTTTCGTAATAAGCGTACAGCTTATGACTAAATTTGTTTTGCTGCCCACGGTCCCACGCTATCACTTTGCTCTTACTAAATATTTTGTATTTAATTAGACCTGTTTTTTTAGACAAGAGCCATTTAGACCTAAATTTAGACAGTGATGCCTGGAGGGCACCCAAA